GGTCGGGTGGTAAAGGGTGCGGGGTGCTGCCCAGGGCTTAGAGAGGCAGCAGGGTCGGGTGGTAAAGGGTGCGGGGTGCTGCCCAGGGCTTAGAGTCAGCAGGGTAGGGCGGTAAAGGGTGCGGGGTGCTGCCCAGGGCTAGAGAGTCAGCAGGGTCAGGTGGTAAAGGGTACGGGGTGCTGCCCAGGGCTAGAGAGTCAGCAGGGTAGGGTGGTAAAGGGTGCAGAGTGCTGCCCAGGGCAGATCTCTCTCAAGGAGTACGCAGGAGCCACGGAAGGGTTCAGGCATGATCTGAATGAGATGAACATTTAAGGAGTATATTCTAGAGATGCTGGAGGAGCTTGAACTTGGGGTGGGGATAGAGCAGCACCGGAAGATGGAAGGTCAGTTTGTGGATCTCTTGAGTAACCCAGAAAGAGATGATGGCTGCCTGTTGAACAGACAGGAAGAGGAGGATGGGAATGGGCAGTGGTTGGCTGGGTCAGGGCAGAGGGAGTCTGCGGGCTGGGACCCTGGGTGCAGCACACTCTCCCCTGCACTGAAGAGGTACAGACTGAATCGGGGTTCAGGGAGCTGTGCCCAGTGTGGTCATGCTGAATCTGAGGGCTCCTGGGCCTATTGGGCTGAGCCGCTGTATCGGTCATACCATGAGTCTGGAAGCACATGGATGGGGACCCCTAAGGGGCTCAGACACCAGGGCGTAGAAGAAGAGCACATTTGAGGACCAGGTAGAAGGGACAGTGGGCAGCCAGAGTGCAGTGGGGGGAATATGGAGTCTGTCTGGGAAGCACTTAGAGAAGGCGGTATGGCAGAGTGGCAGATGTCGCTGCCACCTGTGTAAGATCAGGGCTGACAAGTCCCCAGGGCAATTCAGTGGTGTGGTGGGACACTGAGGACTCAGACTGCAGGGGCGCAAAGAGTGAGGGGAGGGGAGGGGAGGAAAAGGATATGTGGAAGAAATCCAGGCTTACTTTGCAGGAGAAGTGGGCAGATGGGGGAAAGGGAGCTTGCATGGAACCAGGGGCTAATGTGGCTTCCAGCACCGAGAGGAAGCCCCACACTGATGCTGTCTGGTGTGGAGTTGGGAATTGTTCAGCTGTAGATAAGAAAATGTTAAATCTGCAGTCCAGTGTGGTCCCAGCTCAGTCCTGCCATACAGAAAGAGCAGCTTATCCTCAAAGTTTCCATCCATTTCTTGAAGATTTCTCTGCTTTGGAATCAGGAGTGCAACCCCACAAAGATGTGACCTACAGAAACACCAGAAATATTTCCTAGAGGTTGACACATGTGAGCACTTTTAGGGAAGGGAAGGATTTGCAGGTCTCAAGGGGACCTAAGAGTCAACATCATCTCAGGAACACATTGAAGGTCTATCGTGGCACCCATAGCTCTGCAGCCATGGGCAAGGGGTGTACCCATCAGAAGCCCCCACTGTGTAAGGACAGCTGATGTCCCCTGCCTGCCAGAGGTGCTCCTCGGACTCCATGAGAAAGCCAGTCCTGTGTGTGTAACCAGCACAGGCCTGGCACATAGAGGACCCTCATGCTTCTGGCTGTCTTGGGGCAGCCTGATGTGACCATGTCAGATCTTTAGTATTGGAGGCAAAATGCGTCCTCAACCTCTGACTCACTAAATGCTCCACTGTGGCCACCACCTCAGGAGAAATGGGACACAGAAGTCATGCCAGGGAAATGCCCGGTTCATCACTGGCTCAGAGCTGGTTCTGAGGCCTGAACTTGCCGCCGTGTGGGCTGTGTCTGGGTGCTCCGTTTCCGGCCTGGCATGGGGAAAGCTGCTCCCCTTCTTGTGCTGGGCCTTGGAACTTGTGCAAAAGTACCTTGGAAAAGGTTAAGTGGATTTGAGGATTTTAGACTGAAGCCTAAAGCGCATATGGATAGTTTCACTAGAAATACATAAGCTTCTAAAGTTAAAATTTCTTTATAGAAAAGCGAAATTTCCCATCAAATACCTTGAAAGATTGAAAATAGAAGCTTGAGAAGACGTATTGGACTATCTTCCTGGGTAAAATACTATTTGTGTTGGTGAAGTTTGGCCTTTGATCCCGGCAGGGGGACAGGAATGGAGTCGAGGCCAGGTGAGCCCCAGCTGCTGGTGCTCCTTTAGCTACACATGACCATGTGGACACTGTCAGGCAGGGTTCAGCCGTCTTTGGGATCTCACTTCCAGGGACCAGGAAGGGAGGAAGAAAGTGGTCAGGGACCCAGGGAGACCTGGGCAAGTGTGCCTGGTTTCAGATGGGCCCTGGACAGGCATCTCCGGAGAGGATGGATGGATGGATGGATGGATGGATGGATGTGGTGGTAAGGTGTGGTGGAATGAGTATTCAACTTGGAGCCATTCTTGGAAGTGTGTGACTCGGGGAAAGGCATATCTGTGGGCCTTAGCGCCCTCATGCTAAGCTGGAGATGGTGGAACATTTTAAATTGTGTTCCATGGGACGTCCAAGACCTTCGCACTTGCTTATTTGCATTGCAAGGTAGCCCGACAGTATCTGGCCAAATCTCTGGTCGTGGAGACAAGTCATACCCCCAGCTAGTGTCCTCAAAATCTCTGACTTCCATTGTGATGTGTTTCTGAGAAAGATGGGACACATAAGGGCTGCTAGGGAAATGCACCTTTAAAAGCAACTGAGATACAACCCTACATACATTTATCTATTCTAGAGCTCTGGACGGTATGTCTGCTAAGAACTCCATTAGCTAAAAGCCTTTTCATGTATCATCCATCCATCCATCCATCCATCCTTTAGTGATTGCCTTTGTGTGTTAAATGCTGGACATAGTGGGTATCCAATTTCTAGGGAGTGAGATTATGTCCCAGACCAAGATAGCCTTGAGGGGAAAGGCTTCGTCAGGGTTTCTTTAACTCTAGCATGTTAGATTAGGAGCTTCCAAGTTGCCTGTAGTCCTCAGCATGCCTGCTGCCCCATGCACCTGGTGATGTGAAGGGTGCGCTTGGTTGGGTCATGTGTGACCAGCCATTTCTGAAGAGAGACAGCTTGTAGCAAACTTTGTCTTGAAAAGTCTTATTTAGTACAGAAAAACTTTTTTGCATTGTGTAGTTTTTAGCAACCACATTGAAACATTTAAGATTTCGAGTTGTGGCTCTGTGCCTATGGCTCAAGTGGCTAAGGTGCCAGCCACATACACCTAAGGTGGCGGGTTCGAATCCAGCCTGGGCCCACCAAACAACAATGACGGCTGCAACCAAAAAATAGCCAGTGTTGTGGCGGGTGCCTGTGGTCCCAGCTACTTGGGAGGCTGAGCCCAGGAGTTGGAGGTTGCTGTGAGCTGTGATGCCATGGCACTCTACCCAGGGGGACAGCTTGAGAGGCTCTGTCTCAAAAAAAAAAAAAAAAAGATTTCGAGTTGTATTCAACTTGAAATTTTTGCCCAAACTAAAACCTCTTAATTTATTTTATTTTTTGCAGTTTTTGGCTGGAGCTGGGTTTAAACCTGCCACCTCTGGCATATGGGGCCAGTGCCCTACTCCTTTGAGCCACAGGTGCCGCCCCCTCCTAAGGCCTGTCTATAGAGAACTGTGTCTGGGAGCTTTTCTACAACATGAGTGGGGAAATAGGGGATCATGTAACTATGACTACTCAGAGCCATTCTGCCTTGAAGGGTGTGTGCTGACCCTGGGGAAAAGGTATGAAGTGGTTTTTGTTTGTTTGATTTTTTTTTGAGCCTCAGATGCCTTTTAAATTAATAACAGGGTTAATGATACAATAATTTGATTTTATGTATTACAATTACACCTCGACAGGAATTCCACTGCTGGTAGCAGGCATAAAAGCTCATTTCTTTTTCGCTTCTTATTCAGGTTACTTGCAACCGCGGGATCTGCCCAGCCAGGGTGTTCTTCCCTTTGTCCAGGGCCTTCTTTGTAACACCGGGTCAAGTTGCAGAAACATCAGCTATGGTGGGTTCATGGAGCATCATCTTCGGTAAGAGAAACACCAACATTCTTTTCAGAATTCCAGAAAGCTGGTGCACAGAACAGGCATTATGCTTTTAGTGAAACCTCAATAATTTGGGTCAGGCCAGAGAGCATGAAAAGTACAGGATTTAGAGTTAGACACAAATCAGTTTTATTAAGTCAGAGTCACATGCTAATGGCTCCAACTAGTGGCTAGTAGTTTATACCACTGTTTATACCTCACAGAGTAACTGCTGATTAGCCAGTGCTATTTGCATGTACTGGTTTGTTTTCTGTGGGCTAAAGGTCTGAGTTCCAAATTACTGGCTTAACCAACTTTTCATATTGGTGCCAAGTGTGTCCCAAACAAGTATCTTTTGAGCTACCTCCTGGGTTTTTCCTACTGTGCTATTAGTTGATCAGAATCCCATCGCTGGCTGCGATCAAACGACAAGCCACCTCTTTATTCTTCATGTAACCATCTAAATGCAGCCGGTGACAGTTACATTGCTCCTCTGATTTCCCTGGTGCTGAGCTATGCCTGCAGGTGCCAAGGGTGTCAGCTGGCTTTGAAAATCAAGAAGAGAGAGAGCAGGGGGGATTTCGTGTGAGGAGTCAGACTGAGGGGGCTTAGTCTGGGAACTTCTTCCAGGTTAAGTTAGGAATGGAAGGAGTGACCAATAATAATGATAATTTGAGTGATTTGGGTTTTACTGATTCTATGCTTACTGGTATTGAATAATCTAAGATATTTAAATATAAAGGAAATGTTGGGATATATAATCATTATCTTTAAGTTTTTAGTTATCAGAGAAAAATTAGAAGTTTCCAGGTAATTCTGGACATGTGGTACAGTATTCGTCAATGGAGCTGTTTCAGTTCATTTGGGATGCTGTATCAAAATATCATAAGCTGGGTGGTTCATAAAAAATGAGCATTTATTGCTCATATTTCTGGAAGCAAGAAGTCCAAGATCAGGGTGCCTGCGGGGTCCAGGTCTTGTAAGAGCCCTTTTCTTACAGATAGCGCCCTCTAGCGGTGTCCTCTCTTGGTGACAGGTGGCAAGGCAGCTCTCTGAGGCTTCTTTTATGAGGACACTAATGCCATCAGCAGGATGACCTAATCATTTTCCCAGAGGCTCTTTCTCCAAATATCTTAGAAGGGAACCTATACATTCAGACCACAGCAGTTTTTTTGAGAAAGGGCATATAAAACTGTAACATAAAGACAATCATTTGAAAACAGTATAGAATTATAGCCCTGAGAAATTTGATGATCTTTTCTCACATGTGTGGTGAAAGAACTTTCACAAAACTCTTGTCTTTCTGGGAAGCATCAGAAAAACTTGAGACTCAGCATTTTCATTTCAGACCTTTCATCTGTTCCTTACTCAGAACAAGAAGTTTAAATAATATCAGAGAGGAAGGAAGACGCCTTTGCAGGCAGACAGCACTGGCTTTCTTACATTTGGTTCTGTGAATCCGTGCAAGTTAACTTCTTTGAATCTCAGTTTTCTTACTCACCTACTTCAAGTGTCATGAATATTAAAAACAAAATATAGAAAGCATCTAGCACTATGCCTGGCACAGAGTGTTCAATCAATGGAAGTTAATAATAGCAAATTCTTATTATGGTTATAACAATTATAAAATATTATTTGACATCAGGAAATAATTTATATTTTTTCTCCATGTTTTTCCATTTCCACACCCTCATTTCAATGTGTGGAAACCTGGGAATTATAAAAGCAAGTTCTTTAGAGTGTCTTCCGGACTTGTAGACTCAATTTTGATAATTTTCCCTGCCCTGCAGTGTAGCTTCTATCTGAGGAGCTCCATCCATAACAGCTGAGACTTCGATCCTCGTTTCTTAAATGGCTTTTCCAATGTAGGCAACCCCCCAAATTATATGCCCTGGGGACCTCATGAGTATCGGTGCCCACCTTCCTTCCTCAGCTTCTTCCACAGCATCCCCTACCTTTCCTTTTCATTATCCCCACCCACCCCATCCGCACAGTCCAGGGCTTTCCTGGGTGATAAATACAGACGTCTCTACCATGGTCAGTTACCTGCTCAGGGTGAAATATCGTGGCCTCTGCACCCTGAGGAAAGGCAATTCTGACTGGTCCTGGGGTTTAATTCCAAGCCACTTTCCGTGACTAAGAGGAAAGCTTCCTGGCGGTGTATGTGAGTGACAAGAGGCTCATGCACGTCCCTGAACACGCTCCTGTCCTCCCTCAGCCACTTCCCTGAGCAGGGAGCTCTCCCTGTCATAGAGTCGCCTGTCCACCTGTGGCACAGAGTGTTTCAGGGCTGGGTCTCTGCCCTAGAGTCCCCTCCATGCCCGCCTAAGCACGCCTCTTTGTGTATTGTTGAGAACTTGGGGGGATTGTGTGTGTTCTGTTGCTTATTTGTGAATTTCTTTCCCAATAAAACTTACTTTATTTTTATACTGTGTTTCACATTCCAGTTTTGTTTAAGGACTTCTTTCCTACCTGAGGTCATAGAGATAATTTCTTAAATTACATTTTTAAAGAATTATAGTTTTTCCTTTCATGTGTAGTCTGGCATTTGTCTGGGGTTTATGTCTGTGTTCGGTGACGGTAAGGATCTAGTGACATTTTTTTCCGCATTTGGGGAAGCAGTTTTTTCAGTTCTGTTTATTGCACAGGTTGTCCACTGCCCCTTGACTTGCAGTTCCACCCGGGTATGAATTACTTTTCATATGGGCTGTGTCATTTCTCCCGTCTACAGTTTGTTCTAGTTCCAGCCACTCCTTGAACGATGCCTCATTTTGAATGTCTTGAGATCTGGTGGAGTAAATATTCCTACCTTCCTCTTCTCTTTTAGGGAAGTCTATTCTCGCATATAAATTTTACAACCTTGTTGTAAAGGTTGAAGGAAAGCACCTGCTGGGATTTTGGTTGGAGTTGCTTTGAGTCCCATGATCATCATTTAATCTACTTAGATTTTTTTCAGTGTCTTTCAGCATAGCTTTGTAGCATTTTACCATGAAAATATGCATATCTTTTGTTAATGTTTTTGTTCATTACTTTATGTTTTTTGTTGCTTTTGCAAATGTATTTTTTTTTCAGTAAATTTAGGAAATACAAGTAGTTTTTATTACATGGATGAATTGTATGCTGTGAGTTTATCTGTTACCTGAATGTACATTGTACCCATGAGGTAATTTTCCACCAGTCATCCTTCCATTTCTGAATTGCCACTGTCTACTCTGTGTGAGTATACACATAACTCAGCTCCCACTTGTGAATAAGAACACTTGGTATTGGGTTTTCTGTTCCCAAGTTACATCCCTTAGGATAATGGCCTTCAGTTTCATTCAGTTTTTTCCAAAACACATCATTTTATTCTTTTTGAGGGATAAGTGGTACTCCAGCTTTACCTAACTCTTCAGTTGATGTCATTTAGGTTGAGTCAGTATCTTTGTGATCACAAATTTTCCTGCAATAAACTTATCACCGTATGAGGCTGAGTGCAATGGCTCATGCCTGTAATCCTAGCACTCTGGGAGGCTGAGGAGGGTAGATTGCTGGAGCTCAGGAATTCAAGACCAGCCTGAGCAAGGGTGAGACACCCCTCTACTAAAAGCCAAAACAAACAAACAAAAAATAAATATATAAGTATAGATGTCTTTTTGATAGAATGACTTCTTTTCTTTTGAGCAGATAGTTGATAGTGAGATTGCTGGGTCAAACAGTAAATCTACTTTTAGTTCTTTGAGAAATCTGCATGCTGTTTTCCAAAGAGATTATACTAATTTACATTCCCACCAACAGTGTAGCTATATATCAACTACTATATAACTTCAGAGAGGTTATTTGCCCAATGCTAGGTAACGTCTCTAAAGTTATACCAACAGCATATAAACGGTCCCCTTTCATCACATCTGTGCCAATATCTATTGTTTTTGACTTTTTAAATAGTGGCCATTCTTATAGGTGATATCTCATTGTGGTTTTAATTTGCATTTCCCTGATGGTTAGTGATGCTGAGCATTTTTCTTTCTTTCTTTCTTTTTTTTTTAGAGAGAGAGTCTCACTTTGTCACCCTCGGTAGAGTGCTGTAGTGTCACAGCTCACAGCAACGTCCAGCTCTTGGGCTTAGGCGATTCTCTTGCCTCGTCCTCTCGAGTAGCTGGGACTACAGGCACCCCCTACAATACCTGGCTATTTTTTGTTGTTGTTGTTGTAGTTTGGCCGGGCCAGGTTTGAACCTGCCCCCCTCAGTATATAGGGCTGGTGCCCTACCCACTGTGCCACAGGGGCCACCTGAAGCTGAGTATTTTTCATGTGCATGTTTGCTCTATCTCTTCTTTGGAAAATGTCTGTTTGTGTTTGACTTTTTTTTTTTTTTGAGACGGAGTCTCACTATGTGGCTCTTGGTAGAGTGCTGTAGCATCCCAGCTCACAGCAACCTCAAACTCTTTTTTTTTTTT